TTAATTTGGCATCGAAATTTCATAATATAATTTCCATATGGTATTTAGGGGATTTATCCCACACACTTTCTAGTTCTTCATAGAAGCTGTCCGTCATATTATGAGTTCCATCCTCTGTTGGGTCATGGACATTAAGAACGATGACATCACACCAGCGACCTCTTAGTATTCTGTATGACATGTATCACTAACAAATTCCACCCCTTTAATTGCTGTTATGGTTTTCTTATGTACAAAGGAAACCTGTACCTAATTCATGATTCTCATTCCACTTTCCACAGAAAAATATATATTCGCCTGCTGGTTTGGTGCCACCGCTGTCCCATCTAACCTCCTGTACTCTCACCAATTATATTTTGATAGTTCTTTGGCAACTTTTTGATGAGCGATGCTCCCCTATACATACTTCTTACATTCCACGTAACTAATCTCATGTCCGTTTTCCTTAGCTTAGGTTATTTATCCAAAGAATCCGTCCAGGCCCGAGGCCCTTTTGTGACATTTCTTAACAATGTTATTTTTTTACGGAGAGGAGTTGTTAGGCTTCCTCCCAAGAGGATGCATAAAACAAAGATAACAGATTTCGTTTACATCTCATTTACATTTTGTACCATAATCCTGATGCTATCCTGGCTCCCGGTATTCATTCCAGCAGCCGGATGCGTGACATTTCCAGCATCTCGGAAGTGTTACTGTATGCATTATAGAACAATTTCCATAAGGTCGAATTAGTGTAAGTTAAGTCTTTCGTAACGTGTACACTTAACACGCACTTTCAGCAGAAGGCTGGTTAATTGGGGCTATGATTAACTCTTCCCTTATAGTAAATAAACATGAATTTCACATGCACATATTCTGTATTAGGCGAAATTAAATTGGCGAGAAGTCAAAACTGTATGTTAAATGAATAAACACTAGTTCTCACTGTTACTAAACAAACAGTATTATTTAATATTGTTTGTTATGTATTTCAACGTTTATTGTGTTATATTTTAATGTATATTTCAAAGTAGTATTGTAATAAATCGCTACGTTAAAGGAATGCAGCAAATATGATTTTAACGCAGTTGAAACCGAATAAAGACATTCCTTGTTGCGATTCGTGGTTGTATGTCCATACCATTGACTACGTCTGTGGTCTAGTGGTCAGAGTTGCTGGCTACAGATCCAGAGGTCCCGGGTTCGATTCCGGCTCTACCAGATTTTCTGAGAAGTAGTGGGTCTGGAACGGGGTCCACTCAGCCTCGTGAGGGTAATTGAGGAGCTATTTCAAGGAAATAGCGGCTCCGGTCTAGAAAACCGACAATAACTGCCGTGGGGAACTGTTAGGCTGACCACATGACACCCTCTATCCGCTAAAATTGGCACTAACTTCGCCGACAAGCGGCGGTCGCTCGGTCGGTATAGTTCGCTTGCGGACTACAGACCACGGAGTTAGTCCATACCATTCTTTTTGTTTAAATTATCTCGAAAACGATTAGACTTAATGAGAAAGTTTTCTGGACAAAAAAATATGTTTAATTTTTCTCTAGAACTAATCCGAAGTATTTTCACCTTCAGATAAATATTCGCGTAGGAACGCATGTAGTCATTATATAAAGACGTCTTTAATCTTGTTCAGTATAAGCCAAAACTGAAGTGACAGTACAGTTTTCGTAAAATTCTTCACTGTGAAATTTAATGCAAATTCGTCAGCGGTTGTCGAATTGTTTAATGTGTACGGAAGGACGTACGAACTGAGCGAACTTCATCTGCACTTCCCAGGTTTGCGAACACGCCTGAAATGGCAAACAGCATGGAATACAGAGGATACTTCAGGGGCTGAACACCATATATATTAAAACAGTCCATGTTCCTACGAATGCGTGGTGATTCCGTTAATGAGGATTCTAGTTATGCCTACTGTATATTCCTAGTTTCTTAGCCCCAGATATTTAAAGAAATGTGCTCTTACAAGCAGTGTAACCTAGCAGAAGCAGAGTAGCTTTAAGTAAATACATAACCCTATTGTGCATGTGTGTACACAAGTGGAGCGCTGTTCTGACCATGTGTTTAAATGTGCTGAACGGTTGCAACTTGCCGCTCAAGACACATGCTCCCGATGAGAGGTCCATGCAACTTCAAACCGCACACTTAATAGTAAAATACCTATGAAAACATTTTTGGGTGATGGTTTGCATTGTTGACTATGTGTACTTCAATTGATGCTACTGCATAAACTCCATTTCCAGGAAACTAAGTAGTTGAAACTTAAATTATTTTATATTCCCGTTAGCAAACGGAATTCTTTCTCAAAAACACTGCCACATTTTATAGCACTGAATAATTAAGCCTGAGTAAATTATGCATTCTTAACAAACATACATTCCTTCATGATTTTGATAACATATTCCTTTACTGCATATGTTGCTGTCTCATCACCTAAATGCAGGGCAAAATCATGACATAAAGACAGGTAACACAATTTAAAAAAAAAAGATGGCACAGTTCAGTTATTTGGGAATGACTACAACAAATCACAACCTGATTCAGGAGGAAATTGAGAGGAGATTGAACTTGGGTAGTGCTTGCTACCATTCAGTCCAGAGCCTTTTTTCTTCTTGTCTGACATCCAAAAACATAAAAATTAGAATATACAAAACTATAATTTTGCCTGTGGTTCTGGATGGGTGTGAAACTTGGTCTCTGACCTTAAGAGAGGACCATAGACTGAGTGTGTTTGAGAACAGGGTGTTGAGAATAATTGTACCGAAGAGAGATGAAGTGACAGGAGGTTGGAGGAAACTGCATAATGAGGGGCTTCATAACTTGTACTCTTCTCCTAGTATAATTAGAATGATCAAGTCAAGGAGGACGAGATGGGGAGGGAATATAGCACGAATGGTGAGAAGAGGAATGCATATAGGATACTGGTGGGAAAGCCAGTTGGAAAGGGACCACTGGGGAGACCAAGAATGAGTTATCTAGAATGCTTAGAGCAGTACGGTCAAGCTGGTATGATGGGTTGTACATGCAGCTTGGATGGGAGAAAATGATATCTGGGGAAACATCTTGGAAAGTGGTCACATGAAAGGGTGAGAAGGAGATGGGAGGATAACATAAAGATGAAGTTTAGAGAAATATACTGTGAACGTTGGAGGTGGATGGAACTGACTGAGATGATGGTCTTTATATTAATGTTGTTGAACCTTTGGGTACTAGTGTACCAGAATGTTACACCATCTACAAAGCCCTTTCTGTTCATTCAGCAATAGCATCGGTGATGTTACTACCACCTTTGCACAAACTCCACAACTCTAGGCCTCTGATTGTGTTGGAGTGTCTGCAGCAAGTGTTCCATCTCCACAAGGAAGGGAAGTCATTGTATTATGTTAGCCACACAGGTCTGAGAGGAAATGAGGCCACCAGTGCTGCCACCAAAGGAAACATCAGACCAAGCCTAGGCAGTCATGTTTGCACCCTTCTTTATTGTTCTGATTTGCGATTGCAAGAGGAACATAACACAAGCAGTAAGCAGCAAGCTACTGTATGTGTGGAGAAACCATCCGTGTAGGTGTGGCATTCCTTCCACAGTTCCATCAGGGTAGAGGAGGTTATCGTCACCTCACACACGGGCATTTGTTAAGAGATAGTCTGTTTGTTACCAGTTTCGTGATTTTTACAGGTCCACATACACCCTATTAATAAGACTTTTTAGCACAACATTTATTGTTGTTTGTTCTGATTTTTACTAAGTGTTAGACCAATTTACAGTCAGAAATACATCTTCTGATTTATTATGTAATGGGTTCAGTAAAAGGTGACATACTCTGATCTTTATCCATGCCGATGCACCTCTAAACCCACTGAGTCATTATGACAGAGACAGCCAGTTATTACTAGAGTAAAGTAATTTGTTTACTAGGTCTGTCTAAGGTACACTATCCGTGATTAAGTCAGGTGTTTGCTGTTGATAGTAAATAACCTCTTAAGTACATGCAATCTAGATTAACTAGCAAAGGACAAAGTGTTCCAACATGTACTAAGAGGTTGAAGAGAAACAGATTGGAACAGTGAACTTATCTTTATCATTTTAATGTTTTGTGTCTGGCTATGAGAGAAGGACACTGCTATTTGATTTATTGATGTTAGGGTCATTTTAATATTTTGTGTGTGGATTTGAGAGAAGGACCCTCATACTAATGTTAGGATTTCTATGTTGTACAGTGGAACCATTACTCCTAATAAAGGTGATGGACTGTGTACTGCATAGCTGAGGTTTGATTCTGTTCAGGATATGGAGGTTGTTGCGTCATTATCACATCCAGGATGGATCTGAGTCTTATTCAGCCACCCATCATGTTCACAGGGGGCTGAATGCCTAAGGAAAAGAGTGGCTGTAATTTGAATATTACCAAGATAGATAATTGCAGAGGAAAGAATCCATGAACATGTTTGGAATTGCAAACTGTGGTGAAGGAACCTTGGTAGATCAAAGAAGAGCTTATCAGATTAAGAATATAAACCTACAATAGTGTAATGTGTTGTAGGAATTTGAGTGTCTTTATTTATTTGTTTTATTTATAGTGTGCGTTAAGGATAAGTCCCCTGGTATATGGGCCATAAATGGTCCATTTTCCAGCCCCAGATGGTAGATGTGGAAATTATGTATTTTTTTTTTAATTTGCTTAGTGGGGGGTGGAGGCCTACTGGTTCCACTTGGCACGGCAGCCTTGGCCTATTGTACCTGCCCTAGGTGATTATGATGATGGAGAATATGGTGGAATGAAGATTGGCAGGGTAAACCAAAGTCCACGGAGAAAACTCGCCCCAGCACCACTTTGTCCACCACAAATCCCACTTGACCAGACCTTGGATCGAACCCAGGCCTCCACGGTGGGAAGCCAGCAACTAACCGCTTGAGTTATGTCGCTGCCATGACTTCTTAGTATGTCCTATGTATAGCAAAAGACACTGTTCTGTTATTTGCATTAATTTTTTTTAATTATTGTGGTTTCTAGGTGCCTTATGAGGATCTGGAGCAGGCAGCTAGGCTTGTGGTTCAAGCACTGCATGTTAGGGAGCGTTACATGGCCATCTCACACCAGACATTCCCCAGCACTACATCCCGATTCCTGCGCTCTGTGGATTCAGGCTGCCCACACCTGCTTGAGGATATTAAACACGAAGATCGCAAGACTATTGAAGGTAAGGAGAAGAAACAGTATTCATATTGCACATGGCATCATGGTCCCCTTACAAGTTTTCATCAGTCCATTCAAATAAGAGCTGACAGTTTGTACACCCTTTTTGTGGCATGAGTATTTCACATTGGTAGCAGTCATGAGGTACATGTTATTTTAATTCACTTCTGTTGTCAGAATCAGTTGAACTTTGAACATTACATTCAGATGTCAGACTGAGAATTCCGTTTCTTGTTGATTTATTTTGATGTGTAACTTGTTACCTAGCCCTGTTCCAATTTCTTCTGTTGATTTCTAAAGCTGTTGGATTCATTCCAATATTTGGCTGATGTAAGAGAGTCCAAATGTCAAGAGTTCAACAAATGAACCCAGTTGCTCATATGGAGATCTCACCATTTGACTTTATATTTACATTTTAAATTTAGTGGACTTGCATCATCCTCATCATCATCATCATCAAATGCAGCATGGATTTCAGAATATCAGACTTAATCAGGCAGATGTGCTACACTGATGTGTTGCTCTTGTGCTCACTAGTTAATGCTGAAAAGCTGCATGTTACAGGACACCAAAAAGTGTCACAGAATGGTGAATTAAATCTGATGATACAAAGGTTCAGAAAGACATTATTACAATATTTTTACAAATATGGATTACTGGTCTATAACAAATCTGAAGCCAGAGGGCAGGAATTATCTCCAGGAGGCTTACTCCCTTCCAGAAGGCTACAAGCTTGTCTCTACTGTACTCTTGTTAGGTATAGTTGGGACACAGTGTGGAGGTGAAGGTTTTATTTGTGATGACAAGGTTTATGAATCTCAGAGGCTATTACAGGACTTTGATCTAAAACAGTGGTTCCCAAAGTGGGCTGTACCACCCTCTAGGGGGTGGTGGGATTGCCAAGGGGGAAGCTAAGAGGCGCTGGAGTCCCACCCCTCTGATGCTTGTTTGATTATTTACTCATACAACTGAAGTGACTTCAGACCAGCATTGGGACACTGGTATTACATCATCATGCCCATCCTTCAGGAAGAATTTACTAACAGTGAAGTAGTTATTAAATGTGGCATCTTATTTTATCGTTATTGTCTTCTTGGGTGGTTGTGCAAACAGCTATTCTGAGGAATGATTTTTGTAGGGTGGGGCAGGAGACACTGGTGATGAGTTTATGGGATCAGGGGGGCAGTGTCCCAAAAAGTTTGGGAATCACTGATCTAAAACATCTGGTTCAGTAGACATCTAGAAAACTGGAAGTTGTAGCTCAGAAACATTGTAGTTAGGAGGACTTTATGGATGGTGGATGGAAGTCCCCACACCACCATGGCATCAAGACATCCATATTGATTTTCCCTCAATGTCTGAGTGAACACCTTAGGTGATCAGCACTTAGGGTTACTTGTCTTACCTAACAGACTAACAAATGCAGTATACTGTACTTTTTTGGTGAATGATTTACCAGTACTGTAGGAACATGTGTCTCTTGATCAGTGACAACATATGTGGTTCATGCATGATGGGGCACCAACTCATTTTCTCTGCATTGTCAGACAGTACCTGAACCAGACATTTGGTGAACAATGGATAGGAGGTTGAGGCCCAGTTAATTGGCCTGCACAATCCCCTGATCTCAGTCCTCTGGTTTTTTGGCTATGGGGACACCTAAAATCTTTGCTCTATTGAGCCCAAATCACTGACTTAGATATATTACAGCAACAATTAGAGAATGCCTCTCAGGAGATTCGAATTAAACCAGATATGTTGACAGAGTGCACATGTTTGAGCGATGAAGAGCCAGAAGTTGTGTTGAAATGTATGGAGACCGTATAGAACATCTGCGGTGGAGATCACATGAACATCGACCATATCTTAGCAGGCATTGGTTGACTGAGAATTTTTGCTCATTTATGCGAGTTATATACCACCTGAAAACCTATAACCCTTTTTTAACACCCTATATACCAGCTGTCAAATCAATGACTCGTCCTGTTGGCCTACTGTATAGCAGGAGGGCAGAGTCCAATTTTATGGTCACCGAGCTGACTGTAACCTGTCACCATTGTCATTTAAACTAGTGTCTGTTTTCTCAGTTCCCCCTCCCCCCCTTCTTTGTAGCATGCTCTTACCTGTGTGTCTTCATGAGATTTTCCTGATCTGTGTGTGTTGGTGTGCCCTAATAATCTGGTGCTGGGAATCCATGCTTTGCTAAGTTTGAACCCTTCCTCTCTGTCAATATTATTGAGATGCAATTTTATTTCTGTTGTCTCTTTAACAAGTCAGTCCATGTGGCCTGACATTTTGGCCAGTACTTCGGTGTTTTGAAACTTGATCCAGTGGCTTGATTCAATGCTGTGTTCTGCCACTGTGGACTTGTCCAGCTAATACAGACTTATATATTTATCTGCAATTTCCATTTGAACTTGCATCACCCTCTTTCTCAGATGGTCCAAGACTTCAAGATAATATTTTGGATTCACTATGACACCAGGTGGTGTGAATTCTTTATGAACTTCCCTGCGAGAATCTAAAAAAATGATAACAATTGTCTTAATTTTTTATTTGGTCGTGCGAGCCTTCTTCCATCCTGGAGACTGTTGTGTGTGTGTCATTTCTCACCTAGCCTTCTGGTTTCAGGGTCGTATTTGAAAAACCAACTTCTGTCACTTTTTATGGCCTGAGTAGAAAATTGTTTCAGGTTTGAGCCATTCAGACATTTCTGCTGACATTTTGTTTTGAGCTGCATTTTGATCGTTGTTCAGATGTTTTGGAACCACCTTTGCACACACCTTTCTCATTTTAAAATCTTGCTTAACAATATGGTGGATTATATATTCATTAATATTCAGTTCATTGGCGATCATTCACATTGTCAAATGTCAATCTTGACAAATGAATCCCTTGCTTATCTTCCTTCTCTCCTTTCCTCTTTTCTGCTTTGTTTTACTCATATTTCTTTCTGCATTGGTAAGATTTGTGTTCCTTCTTTTTGTACACAAAATATGTGGAAATAAAGTATTTATTTACCTTCCAGTTAGCGGTCAGTGCCCTAACTTGAGGGTCATCCTCCTTTCTGCAATGCTTGCTATCTCATTGTATCAACATTGACCTTACACAGTCACTCAAGACCTTGGTACTGAACTTTCTATTACCATAATCATCGGGTCATATTCATCTCCAAGTCCAACATTGTAACACCAATAAATTCTGCTATATCTTGACTTCAGTTGCTGAAAGCTTTTGAGTCATGGACAGGATTTCATTCAAATATTGTTCCATATTTGAGTTCAGTCGTTCAATTTATTTACGTTCCAAAAATCCAGATACAGGTAGACACCATAGGATATGGAACAAGTCAAATACATTATAAATACAGTGACATCTGTACAATAACAGTCTAATTGATAAATTAATAAGAAATATTAAAATTACTTAAATATAAGTTATATGTACTTATGCATCACAGTTTGAGCGTGATCTAGTTTTACATGAAACAATCTTCTCAACAGTCCTGTCCTCATGTTAGTCCTTTATCTTCATATACATTTATTCAAGCTACTCCCATACTTCTTTTGCAGTTTTTGAACTTCTTATAATGGGAGACAGCGTCTCATCCACCATGAGACATTGCCATCATGTCTAGTTGCTTCTTCCCACAAGCTTCTTAATGGCAGGGAGCTAACTGCATCCACTCAGCACTGATTGAGAGGTTTGCAATAGGCCTGCTGATGCTGAAATCTCTTCTCCTGTCTTATCCATTTCTGCTTTAGTATGCAACATTTCACTCAACCTTGATTCTTCTTTTCTTCTTTAAGACTGGGCAAGCGAAGATATACACATTTCTAACAAAGTGTGACCATAGATTGGATAACCTCAAATGCCCATATCTCACTGTTTTCAAAATTCGCACTTATTCCTAATAAT